CCTTCCTTCCTTCCTTCCTTCCTTCCTTCCTTCCTTCCTTCCTTGCTTACTTCCTTCCTTCCTTCCTTCCTTCTTTTCATCATTCCTCCCTCCCCTTTTCCTTCTTTCCTCCCCTCCCTCCCCTCATTCCTTCTTTTCTTTCTTCATCCCCCCCCAAATAAATAGATGTTTAATATGTATGAAGTTAAGATGAACGCTGATCCCCCAGTTCATAGGTCAGTATTGGTAGCCGTTCCTATGAATTAGCCCTCTACATAAAAAAGGTTGGTGAACCCTGCTCTACGATAACACTCCTTTATGCAGCTAGAATTCAGCAGAAGACTCTTCTCCTATACAGTTAATCAGTTTCATGTATGGGTTGGAAGACCCTGTGTAACAGCAGTTACTTTCTGCCTGACTTTTTCTGTCCCCCAACATTTGCACTGGGCTGAGAGGTGCCCTCTTGATGAGCTTATCTAATCATTTCCCCTTAGCTATTCTGTAAATTACGCTTCTTCTGTGAGCTGCCAGCCCTTAGAACAGGGGTTCCAAAATTGGGGTTCGAGATCCCCGGGAGGTCCTGAGATACCAAGAGAGATATTTTTACAGTAACTGGTGTGTATATGGGTGGTCAAGATAAAAAATTAAATGTGTAAATGTAGGGTTTCCAAAGCAATAAAAAGTATACTATAAAAAAGTAGATGTAACTTTTGTTGTGCATATAACTGATTCATGATATTCAATGCTTCATAGAATTATAAAACAAGTATTTGAAATGCATTATAAAGGATCAATTAAATAATTAAATGCCTTTCAAAAAATAGAATTTTATTCTAAATGTTTTACGATTACTTCACTTTATAAATAGAGTGAAGTAATTGTATTTTAAAGCACTGTTATTTTTTGTGTCACAAGCTGAAATCTTTGGGAATGCCTGCTGCAGACTACAGCTGATGCTACCATGGATTCAAAATGGTATTTCCCCAAGAGATCTAAGTCTCCACAGCAGGAAAAGTTCACTCTGACCCTTAGCAGTGTAACTCCAGTTCAGTTTATTGCTCAGGTGAACATCCACATAGTTAGAAGGGTCCATCAAGATCATTTCCACAGGCGTTGGTGTACTCATGCCTCCTCAGGTGCAAATTCACCTCAAGCCCCCACTGGACATGTCCTTTGTCCACTGTCTGTAGACTGAGTTATCAAGTGATAAATGAACTATGACAGAGTTGTTGGAGAATTTCTGAAGATAACGGTCTGGAAAATGGATGCTTTGTAATGAAAATTGATGGAGTTTCTAATTCAATTTCTAATGTAGAAAGTGAACTTGAACAATGCCACAGATCAGTCTTTCTTAAAAACAGCCCTGTGTCCTCACATACTCACCCAGTATCTACTGGGAGAGCTGAATGCACACTCCTGAGAGCTCCAGATTGTCCCTCAGAAGTCCCAGCTGGAAATGACAAAGCTTGGTGCAGGTGTATCATCCACCCCAATGCTTACCAGGGGGGCAAAGATGGTTAAGGACCATCCTTTAAAGCAGAGGTATTCAACACTGGGGATGCAGAGTTATCGCAGACTCTAATGATTAATGACTGAGGCCTGAAGTATTGCAGAGACAGGCAGATAGTTAGTCACAATTAGAAAGGTACTACTGCAACTGAAGGGCTGAGTGCCTGATCAAACCTGCTCTGCTTGCTGTTTGTCTTTTAATGAGAAAATGTTTGCAATTTTTTCCAAACCCCACTGATGTTATTTAGCTGCAACTTGCAAGACTGATCAGTTAGAGAAGAAAACACAAGTTTATGAGTACTTTAAATATGAACATAGAAAAAATTACAGATGATGATGCACAAGTAGAGCACATCAGCACAACAGACATGAGGAATCAGGAGCATAGATACTAAGGTAGATGTGGAATGACAAAAAAGTCAGATCCGGTATACTCAGAGCAGTTTTAGAGCAGATTAGACAGAAGGAATGCATGACAGGTGAGGGCTGATTACTAATTAACAAGAATGGCAATTAACTGACACAAAGAAGCCATTAAATAAGGGGAAAAGATAAATGATCACCTAAGGGGATAAACTAAATAGAACACAACCAGAAAGTGACAACCAAAAACTAAGGAATGAACTAGTAAGGAAGGGCCTCACAGAGCATAGATATTTAACAGGAAAAGGGTTCAAATATATAAAAACACAAAAGAAAACCCAAACCATAACACAATATTTTTTTTTATATACTGGACGCAACAAGATGGGAAGGAGGGCAGACATGTCATAGAAGAGCAACAGAAATGTAGTTGGGGCGCATATCCATATTTTCTAAATAAAGACTAACTATAATTTCCAACAGCCTTTACTAATATGTGCATGTATTTAAACATCCATGCTTTTTAGATAAAAGATAAAGTGGATAAAAGTCTTTCAGGTTTGAGTTCTGGGGTGAACATCTTTTCCATTGTCATTACCTACCTACTTGTATCAATAATCATCCTGCATAAAATTGATATTTACAAGCACTAATATCTACATACATTTATTATTTTTATTAAAGTTGTTATTTAGCTATGATTTTACTAAAGACTAAATGAATTCAGAGACACATAATTTTCTCTTTACCCCATAAAATACAAAATCTAGTTCTGAAAAGAGCAGGAATTCTGATCTTACCATCTTTATTGTTAGTATATTCATGTGCATAATTGTCCGCAGTGTTTTTGTTGTCAAATAATTATGAATATATAAAAAAAAGTGAGTAATATATGAACATTTTGAATTTTTCGAATATTCCACTTGATTATGGGGTGGGGTGGGGCAATGATTGGCTAAGGTGGGTTTGCCATGGCCCCCATCTAGCTCCGCCCCTGGTTATAGGCTGTGGTTTCACAATATGATGATTGTCACAGATGGTGCTCTTAGTGCAGTTCATGTGCTAAATTACAGCAAATGATAATGTGATGTTCAGTGCCCTTTGTTTTGTGGAACAATGATGCGAATTCAAACGTTCATTGAGGCAGTGCTGGTACTGAAGAGGAGCACAGCACACCTAGCTCGATTTAAAGCGGGATTTGGATTAAATAGCTTCTGAGAGCCAATGAGCCTAACCTGCGAGAGCGAGGCAAACGGGGAGGGAGCGGAGCAGTGATTTTTATTTCCAACTGGATCGAAAAGGGGAGGAGGAGGCATGGAGAAGGAGTTATTTTGGTAGCAGCGTAGAGCTTGTTTGACATCTGAAGGCTTCCGGCGCAGTAAATCTGTTTGTGCGGCACGAAGAAGAAGAAGAAGAAGAAGAAGAAGAGAGCCTCGGTCAATTCCCGGCTGCAACCCTCTTCGGCTGGACATGAAAGTGCAGCAGGGCTGCAATTCATCAGAAATGGGCATCCCCGTTAGAACCGAAGAAGAGCTGCGCAAAAACACCGTTATAACACCGGAGGATGTGCTGGGGCTGCAGAAGATCACAGAGAGTGAGTAACCTGCTGTGGTGGAAGATAGTACCATGGACAGCGACACCTTTAAATGTATTTTAACCAGTCGGTATCAGACTCCATGAGTAGGTCAATCTTTATCATTGTGGTTATGCTATACAACTTCTCCTGCTACCAATAATAGGTGTGAATTTTTTGTTTAAAAATATTTTCTTTTTAGTTTACCAACGTTTCACCTGCTAAACTGAACTCCAGCTCACCTTAAGACACCTGCAGCACTGAGGTAACAGGTGGCATGGGATGTGATCCACTTATTAGCTGATACTTCAGGCAGCTCCCAGCTGGGAGGGAAAAACAAGTGCTGTGTCCTGCAGCTTTGCTCTTTATTATATCATGGAAAACATGCCAAGTTGGATCTTTTAGAGCCTAGATGAAAAAGGATATTTAATCAGCTGGTGGTTAGAAGTTAGTTATTTTATTTATTAATTAATTGAGCTTTATTGACCCCACATTGGAGAAATTTACATCTGCATTTAATCCATCCCCTTGGGGGGCAGTGGGCTGCTATCATAGGGCTCCCGGGAGCAATCAGGGGTTAAGGGTCTTGCTCAGAGAGCCAGAGTGGCAGTCTGTGGGAGTTGGTTTCAAACTCACAACCTCGGGATTTCAAGCTCTATGCCCTAACCACTGGGCCACCACTCTACACTATTTTGCTAGAATATGTTAAATGTTCCAAAGAGGCCTCTTTCCATTCATCCAGTTTGACAGGTTTTACACAAGGATGTGGAAAATAAGAACTATGCAACTATATTCAGTTACATGCAGTTTAGTTGGATTTGAAGTTTGTAATATACAATGGTAAATTCTAAAAACTGAGGACAAGCTTCTATCCTAAATAGACATTTGGCAAGAGCGGGAAGGAATAACTGAGTGGAAGAAACTCAGAGGTTTCTCAAAGTTTGAGAGGACTGAGTAGACAGAAAAAACAACAACAATAGGTCTGGGATCAGATATATTTTAAGATTGAGGAAGGGAATACCAGTAAAATAATAAATAAAGCTGAGCAGTTTTCCAGAAGATTGGATTTGAAATAAGCAAGTAGACTGCATGGAAATATAGACTCCAGTATTTGTAGCTCATTACTAAATTTAGTAAACTTATAATTAAACATTAATCCGATTAATTGATCGTCCTCACTAAAGCTCTGTATAGTTTTATGATAGTATTACATGATCACAGAACATTTTCAATAGACACATTTTTTATGCCATATTTTCAAATTCACCAACAACTTAAGAATTCAGTTACCTTCAGAGGTTTTATTAAATTTCCTGAAAAAGAAGTGTAAATATTCTAGAAAATGATGATGTGTATTCCTCCACACTGAAAGCAGGAAGTGACTCTGATGTTGGATCCAAAATCAAACTCATGAGTGTAGAAGTTTAACTCTAAAATAATCACCTCTCTCTGCACGTTGCCACCTCTGAGTGAAGAACAAACACCAGCGTCTCATCAGGGTGATAATTCCTAAATCATTTGTGATGGTGTGGTAATCTCTGCTCTCGGCTGACATGTAATCTGGATTATGTCAGAAGAGCTGAAACGAAGCATTGTAAAATGGAGTGATGCAAACAGGTAATTATTAACTCCAGTGACAAATTATAGAAGATGGTCAAATAAAGAATGCTTTACTTCAATTCTTGTTTAAACATCGTTTTTTGTTATTTTTATCAAAAGTTATTATTTGTATTATTTAAGGGCGCTGTTTGGGTTGTTAAATAGATTATTATTTGTCCTGTTCGGACATCATTTAACATTTTAGGCCATTTTTGACCATAATCTAATAACAAGAAAAGCTTTGCTCAGGAAAAAAAAACCCACATCAAATACAGAAAACAGATATGCAGAAAGCTTTAAGTACACACCACCATCAACCCACAGCTCTATGGGAAAACAAATATACCTTCTATAGTGGAATGGCAATATATGTATACTGATAATTACTCCTTGTATGGTGTGAAATGTTAGCTAAATATTTGAGGACCATGCATTCAGACTTGTTATGACAGAAGTAAATTTGAGACTATGGATTTGATTTGGGACTAGGAAAGTTTTCCTAGAAACAACTTTTTCAAAAAAACGTGGTTAAAATTGAAACAAAGATTAGATTTAATCAGTAACTGGATAAATTGTATATTATCTGCTGTCAGTGTTTCATATGAACTATCCTTTAATGAATTCATAAATTCATCACCACTAGTCCTTATTGCGAAATTCACCAATATTATCACACATAATAACTCACTGTAACGTTTCATAGTAATATACAAAATTAACTACATGTTCATATAGTAGTACAGCTCATATTTTATTTTTATTTTTTTAGCTGATTTGGTCAAAATCAAACTTGCAGAAATAAAACAAAAATTTCAAACCTTCAGTATTTTACCCTGTTTCACCACATCATGTTTCTAGCTTGATTTATTGGGTCTTTGGCATTAAAATAGTTTTGACTTTGGTGTTTCACTCATTATTTTGCTCTTATGGCTTTTTATTTGTAAATCCACATGAAAACACGCACCTCCTTTTTTGTTTTCTGTTTGTTTGTAGCAAATATCAGCATAGTTCTTATAAGATTCATTTAACAGAGGCTATGCACTTAGAACACAGAGTTTAGAAATGCATAAAAAATGTTGACTATGGATCAAAACAAAACAGTAAGACTGTTGAATGTTAGGTCTATAGCTGAAGAGCTCTAGCTCCACTGTCTGAGGAATGTGTTACTGTGTGAATAATTGTTTGTAGTGGTGACTTTGGGTTCTATTTCTGGTTTTTATTTTAGTGATGAGGGTTCACTTCTTACATCAGTCTAACTGAACATTACTGCCTCAGGTTTGTTTATTTTTTTCTTTTACAAAATGTTTCACATTTTCCTTAAGCAGCCTTGGACATATTTATTGTAGAAATCATGGTAGTTTCAGTGATGGTGAGCTGGCAAAACCCTGCTGCAGCTAAGCATTCCCAAACTACTGTACTTCCTTCTCTATGCTTTGCAGTTGGCATTATATCGTATCATTTTTTGAAATGCGGCAGTTGTTTTGTACCCAACATAGTCCCTGTTATGGTCTTATAATTAATCATAGGAGGTGTAACCTTAAAGGGACCTTCCTGGTTTTCTTAGAACCCTTGAAACCCTCATAGAAGTTAAACCAATAGCTGCAGGAGTCTGATAAGATACTTCATTTGAAGCATCAAGAATTTAATTTTTCCTTTTTTAAGAATATTGCTGTATGCTTTCTAGGTGCACTTGTTTTAAGGCCTTGATCAGGGTATGTTGGTAGCTCTTCTTATCCTCTTCTACTTGCACGCTGTTTCATACAGCAGAGAGGTTTTTTCCTTTTAACTCTTATTAGACCTATTCAAATCCCTCACCAGATTCATATGCTGATACAATTTTCTTTCTGAATACCTTAGACAGCTGTTTGGATGTTGCTAGTGTGTTTACAGTGGATGGTATGAAAGGAGAAAATATCCAGTGAGCATCAGCTGTCTGAGATGATTGAAAGGAGCCAGGAGCTCTAATAACCCCTTATTTTAACTAAGTGTCTGAATGTACATGTTGAACCTTTAGTAAAGGAGCTACAGCAGAAGAAGAAAACAACAAGTTCCAGCTCCATCAGCCAAGAACAAGGAAGTGGGACTAGAGCTCCTTTAGACTAAACACATTTTGACAATAATAGACAAAGAATTCGTTGAATGGTTTCAATTAGCTTTAATTTCAATTCAGTTTAACACGATTGGGTCAAAATCTGGCACAAATATTGTTCTATTTGTAATCATATTAGTCGATTTATGTATTTAAATTTGTATTTATATCAACTGTGAGGAAAAAATAGAAAGAGATATTTAGATATTTGGATTAGTCTTGAAGTTTTTTTTTTAACCAAGTATAAGCTGCCACCAAAAAAAAGAAAAGAAAATCCCTAAAAAAAAAAGTGGAAAATGTAGAATATAAAACCATTGATTATTTATTTCTTGATTTATTGATGTCTTTGATTTCAAGATTTGGCATAAACAGTCCTATATGTTAACTTTCTCTCAAGTTTATATATATATATATATATATATATATACATACATACATAATCCTTCATTCCACAGCTGGTGTCTGCTGCTGGGTTATCTTTCTCATGCTGTTCAGGACCAATACCGGTAATTAAACAGGTGCTCTGAGACCGAATGGTGAGTGGATGATAATTCAATAAAGGATGAATAAATAAAACAGACATCAGCCATGAAGACGCTTAATACAGAGGATCCTGATCAGACTAAAAGGAAATAAGAAACAGACATCAGCCATGAAGACGCTTAATACAGAGGATCCTGATCAGACTAAAAGGAAATAAGAGCTTAAGACAAGAAAAGAGTTTAACAGAATCCACTAATGAACTGATGAGTTTGGCTAAAAAAGAAATGGGGAGAAGTGAAGAGGAAAATATAACACTAATAGAACCTTAACAAAAATGGAGAAAAAAATGATGGAGAAAGAAGATTCAAACAGGAAAAATACTAAGAAATATTGAAGAGAAATGTACACATAAATCACAAAGCAAAAGGATGCAAACATTAATAAACCAAAGCCAAACGACAAAATAACAGTATAAAGAAATGTCAAAACACCAAATTCCTAAAATAAAGGGTCTAAAGAAACAAAGAACAAAACTCTGAAGAAAAAAAATCAAAAAGCTAACCAAGCGCAATAACTAAAGATAATAAAGAAAAACAAAATAACTTAAATAATGACACATGTAGATTATTTTCCAGAATCATTTCAACATTTATAATAAGAATAACCAAAATCAACTAAATCCAACCAATCAAAGCATTTCTTTGAAAGAATAGAATTCTAGAGCTAATTGAGAACAATATGGAAAGTAAAATACAACCAAAGTCAGATGCAATTTTCCCATTTAGGCCCTAGTTGGTTTGAAAATTGGTACAGCATAGATAGGTATGTCTTTTAGGAGTTTTATTGTTTT